AGACGTGTGCTCTTCCGATCTAGGAGTAGCTAAGAAAGTGACATAAGGAAAGAATGATTTTGCTGAAAAATGTAAAAGTTTTGCTGGATATACCTCAATAGAATTAGCTAAATATTATTTGATTTTTTCAGCGAATATTTTTTACTGTAGCGCCTAAGTTTTAACAACTAATAAATTTAGCTTTGGCAGTAACAATATTAGTTATCCTTATATTTTAAAAACACACATTAGCCGCCACAGCTATATTTTAGCTGCGTTGGCCAATCCTTTCTCTGCCTGTGACACACACACACAATACCAGGCTATATCAAACGTCCGCACTCTTCAACAACTGCGGCTAAAATTATGCCCCTCAACATGACTGTTCGAAAAGGTTCACACTATGTAGTTCAACAGTCGTCCGATAAATGGCGTCAATGGGGAGGCTGCAAAAAAATCAGTCCGGAAACTTATGGACCGCACTGTGTATATACAAAATTTGATTTAATTCTTAATGCTACTTCCTTATCAAATTTGCAAATAAGTACTCCAAGACGCGATTTTATATAAGAATCAAGAGTAAATAACAAATTAAATAACTTTTAAACCAAGATAAGAGAATCGTGCTCAAATTTTGCACAGTTGCTCAGATGTATTAACAGAACAATCTGTAAAATTTTTATATTTTTTGTAATGTTTTGAGATACATTACATACATCCTTAAGAAATAATAGAACAAATAGAGTAAAAGTTTAAAAACTTTGTCGATATATGATCTTCTTATCTATTGATAAATATATTTGAAACAAGTAGCGCTGTTTCTGTAATTTAGCGATAGATAATTGTGTATCTGTTAATATATATATAATAAAGAAAAAAGGTTTTTAATCATTTCCTTTTAAATTAAATTTCAAAAACAAGAAGAAGAGATTAGTAATAATTATTTATGTGCACGTTTTAACATAATTTATATAATTAATACAATTCGCATTTATACCATATTCATGTCATTATATATTCGCGTAATAATTGATGAGTTCGTGCCATAGCATCGTGAAACAAGAGCTGTACTTATTGTATCGCATAACTTTGTCCATTAAATCCATAAACGTTATTTTGAGCTTCATACTTTCATCAGGCCAGGCAAAATGATTATAAATTCTTGATTACGCTCCGATTGTTTGCTAGCGATATTTGTTTCGCGCTTCTATTCTCAATTAATGCTATTACCGCGCCGGTTAATAGTAACACCTCTATATTACGTATAACATTACATATCGAATGCGTTTAAAATTTTCATGTGTGCTGAATAATAAATAGTGGTTTGAAAGTAAGGATATTAAACGGGAATTATTAAACGAATGGCTAACTAATTTTATAAAATAAAACGTGCCACAGAATTTCGCTTTATGGAAACGCGGTAATTCTCTGTCATCGTAGACTTAGCTTTGTTGCCGGTGACATTATTCTTCAAGCTAACTCAGCGTACACTCAACGAATGCGAATAAAATTACGTTTGGGACTTAACGTAGTCAAACATTAGCTTTGTGTTAATGTGCTCTAACAAACGCGAGGATAATTTTGTGTCATCCTTGCAATAAATTAAGATGCAAGATTTAATCCTCGCAATATAAAAGAAATAGACACAGAAAGAATAAAATTAGTAAATATACACAGAAAGAATAAAATATTAGTAACTAAATTTGTGTACGTGATATAACATGAGTGCCATTGTGAATCATACACGAATGCGTTCCTGATTTTCTTTTCTTCCTTTTATATGCATATGCTTTGAGCAA